TTTTTCTATTAGCTTAGTTAGAACTTGTTTAAGTATTTCTAACATATTTTTATATATCTATTATTGTTTGTCATGTTTAGTTTTTAGTTTTCAGTTTTTAACTAGGGCCTCTAAGGATTAGTTTTTGTAACTGTAAGAGTTACCCTAGCTAAATAAAAGTATCTTCTTCTTCTTCAACGACTGATGGATGGGCAAAGGAATGGGCAGACAGATAGGCAGATGGATAGACTGATGAACTGACTGACACACACGCATCCACAAAATGATAGACTACATGATCAGTAATTGCACACATATTTATCTGCTTGAATGCAATCTTCAAAAAATCACAGCAGAAGGATTTTTGACAAAACAATGTTGATATCTCCTTACCTTGACATGAGAGATCCAGACCAGTGAGCAATTGAAATACATTCTCTAAGGGGAAACTGAAATCAAACCAGTTCAAAGCTGTGTCACTTAACCAGAAAATTATTTGTAGAGCTTTGCACACACCTTAAGTAACAAAACTTCATTATTTAAACTCTCTATTTTATTTATAGCACATCTACTCAACTAGTGATCAAGTCGTTAAAATTTTATCTTTCACTTACCAATCAAAAGGCCAACATTGTGGGCACAATGAAACAAATTCACACAAAATATATTTATTTCTCATTCTTTAATCCAGATATTTAAAGGTGAAGACGAACTTGAAAGAGAGAGTTTATAATGAGTTCAGGGATGTAAACTCAGTGGGTGTAAACTCGATGGGGTGCAAAACAGGTAGCATTCCTATTCAGCACTTGACAAATGTTAGTCACAACAAAACAGTCATGTACCTTCAAAATTGGGTAAGATGTATCAATCGGATCAAAAAGTATAGACTTTGAACATATCTTTAATCTTCCTCTTTGCTTCCTGTAAAAAGAATTTAATACCAAATTCTAAGAATTAAATGTGACAAAAATTATGTCTTATCACTACAAATTGAAAATATACATAGAATCAATATCCATCTATATTACCTTGCCAAAGTATCTGCCAATAAGAAGCTATAACTGTAATTTATCATTATGATCAGATAGGCATGTGTGATCAACTAGTACAAGTACGAGATGTATACCTTTTGATGGCTTCTTCTTCACGCAGGTCATATGGATAATGAAAAACACTAAAATCTTCAAAGTAGATCTCGCCTGGTTCTAGCAGTAGCAGGGAGAATCTAAAAACAAATTTAAGGACAAAACAAAATAAAAAATCACCCCATTTGCCACAATTCAAGAATTTTAATTGAATGTCAATATGAGATTAAAGAATGAAGAGTCTGGAAAATGTCATCGGAGCCTGCTCTACTCATTCAATTTAATCAATAAGCTAATATTTCACTGTTCAAAGAAATTGTTACAACTTTCTGAACAACCAAATACCAGTCAATAAGTGGATACTGACGAAGCCATGGATACTAATCAGGCCAATTAATATTTTGATAACTGGTCTTTTATGATAAGGAGCACTGACAAAAGCAAATCAAGGAAATAAGTTTTGGGGACCAGTCATTTGTCGTCTCCATTCTCTAGGAAGTTAAGCAGTTGTTTTCTTCAATTTGGTTTTGTTTTGACTAATTAACAGCAGGACTTTATGTCATCCATTTTTGTCTGTAGTCACAATAATAATCTATTGTCTTGCGATTTATTACAAATCAGGCACTTGCTTGACAGCTGTCAAATTTTCTAAAGATTGGGTACCGGAACTGGACTAGTCTCAGCTCTGTTAGCAGAATAAACTGATGACCAATTTTCTGGTTGTCATATTTTAGATAGTCATCATGGTCCAGCCTTGACTATGCAATGATATAGATAAGATGGGTCATGTCTAGACAGATCATAGATCTCAGGGAACCTATCTATCAGTACAATATAAATAATAATAATAATAATAATAATAATAATAATAATAATAATAATAATATAAGGTGTTTCATTGTAATCTAACGCTAATTTAGAGCATATTTTATTGCTGTCTGAAGTGCCAAAAATAACTCTTTCTCAGTAAGTTTATTATTGCAACAGGAGAAACATTTCGTCAAAGAAAGTGAAAAGTTCTGTCAAAAGTTAGGTTAGAGTTTTGAAGGCATTGTTTTCATAAATACAGCGTAGTTCAGTTTGGAGACAAGCGTATACATCATATTTCTGTCAGACTCTCGTTGTTTAGTCTACAAGGCAATAAAACTGCCGAATAAATTCAGAATTTCCGATCGGTGATCAATACATCATTTATTTCATGCCAAAATTGTGAAACCTCAAAGATTAGAGGGATAACAAGACGATTGATTTAAACGAAAGTCCATGCAGACTTTTCCACATCAATAGTATAAATTTTTGGATCTTTTGGAGAAATAGGGAAGCTTGATCAAACACATTTTCAACTACTTTAAGAGCACAGAATTGACGAACAAGCTCTGACAAAACAGCTGCTTGTGCGCTCGTCGCCCAAGTGTTTTCCCAGTTTCGCTAGTTATGACCACAAAAAACACGTTTTGAAACATTAAGATATGATAGAAAATCTAAGAATAAACTTCAAATCAACAAAAAGGCGGTACCTTTCTTTCAAAGGAATTGTATGAGGCTCCAAACCAGAACTTGATACGAATGAAAGTTCCGCCATGTTGTAAATAAGGCAGCGCTAGTGCCAGTCCTTTTTGAAACTTTTTGTCTTTTCAAGATCAGACCGACGGATTTTCGCGCTCTGAAAATCTTCAAAGATCTTCAAACGCTTTTTGTGAGCGCGTTTAGCTTATTACTCAGAAAAGCATCGCTTCAGAATTAAACACCAGAAACTACTATAGTTCACGAACTAACTGAACTCGCAAGCTTATACTTTGGGCGAAAGATCAATAAATGTCGGAAAAATTCCCTTTTATTTTCACTAACCAGACTAGAGTCGATTCTACTAGTATATTTCTCGTCGTAATACAGGCGGACCTTCCAACAATTAAAGTAATAGGCTAACGATTTTTAAAGAACATCCAAATCGTTTTCAAATATTTAAAACCACTCGACTTGTCGGAAGCAAGCGTGTTTGACCACCAGTTGTAACCTTAAAACCTACAAAACCGTAACTTCTGTAAACTTTACCCAAAAATTAGCCTGGCCGCTCACCTCGTGAAGTAATCTTCGTAAAAAACGCCTTCACTATTTGGGTATTCTCGACCACAACTGCATCCAGCGGAGCTGTCCGAATTCCCCAACCGCTTCCGTACTTTGTCCCATAACGCCATAGATTTGTCAGCTAACGTGTGAACACTGCCTCGCACATTGCTTCCAATTCGTGAAGTAGCCCTGTGGAGCGTAAAATTTTTGTTTTACCGGCTTTAGTTCGTCAAGTTTCCAAGCGCTCCGGATCGGAAATTACTTGGAATTAGTTAGTGGTAATGGTCTTGGCTATTTTCGTTCAGGGACAATACGAAACAAGCTAATTTGCATACGTCATTGCGGACCAAAAACCAATTTACCACCGAGTTGATTAAACCAGTAAAGGAAACTTTTAGAAGGGTTTATAAAGTGCGGTTAAGTTTAGCAATCATTTTGGCCACATGTGGCAATTTGTCTTAGAATTATTTCATGGTTAAATCAGCCAAATGAACTGCGAAAAATTCTTTCCAACACAAGCTTCTGAGCCTATCGTCGTTTTTCGAAAAGTTAAACTACAACCGAAAGGCTGCTTTCATTGTGGTATTCGAACAATAATAATTTTTTATAGTTCTTTGTATTCATAAACAGCGTCAGACTAATGAAGAAGACGGGAATTTTTCATTCGGCGATAGACTAAAATATGCCAGGCCAGGTGGTCGTAAACAGATGGCTCACTCCTGAAAAACCCTGAACTAAACACTGTAAAACGCATTGAAGGAAAGTAGGAGATATTTTTCACCTTTTCATAACCGCATCCAACCGTAAACTATTTCTTTGTCGCCCAGTGTTTTTCGAAAGCCCATAGTTCATTACAGAAACTCAACAAGTTGACAAAACTCAACCGCAACGATAAGCTGAACGCAGGACAATTGTTTTGATAAAAGTGAGTTGTTATGGTGATTCGAGATCAAAGCAGGTGGAGAGTGTGAGATCATTGAAATTTGCACTGATCACACGATTGCGCGAAAAAAATCTAAATATCGAAGATTGTTGAAACTCGTAATGTTTCCCCGACGAATTTTAAAATTCCTCACGGGGAAACTATCCTGTTTGTAATGACAATTACACATTTAATATAACTTTATTTCGTTTTGATTTGCGATTTCATCGATAAAAACGTTCTTAGATCAGTTTCACACATGATTTTCGATGAACAAATTAAGCCTATTTCCTTTTATAATATAAAAGAAAGTTCACCATAATCAGTCAAACAGGAACTCAAAGTCATGCGTTCAAATTTGAATAATCTGAATCTGAAATTCAAATCATTGATGTATACACTCTATTTTGAAGAAGCTCTTAACTAACTCCTTTTTTGGTAAACTTAATACGGAAGACACCTATTTAGCTTCTACAGTGTACGTAAAATGAAATCGAGTTTACCCACAAAAAAGACAGGATATGCTTTTCTCGACTTTCTACAGGATTATTTGATCCCTTGTGTGATAAACAAACATTTTCTTGGCGTTTTTGAAAAGATCAAAGAATGCTTTCAAATTTAATGGAAAATTCAGCGAATAATAATAAATAATTCAGGTCCATGCTTTGAAAAAGGAAGCCACCATGTCCACAAACTATATTTACAAAAAAAATAATAAATGATTAACAGAAAAATTCCCGTGTACTGTATGATAAGAAAAGTAAATTCTCTCACCCGAGTGTCACGATATTTAAATAGTTCCAAACGTTTCGGGTTTCAAAGCTATACTTAATTTACTTTTCTCTTATTTACTAAAAGACGATGTGCAATGCAACTGATTATCAAAATATAACATAACGAGAAATTGCTTAAGGAATTCCTTAATCAATGAGAGGTGGTAATGCGGCTGCAGCAATTTTTTGAACTTTAGTTTAAAAGTTATTCGAACATTAGAAAAACGTTTATTTCATTGGGAAAAAAATATTTTAATCCTAATTGCCAGTTACTTTGACGATCCCTAACATGCACAAAGTGCATCACCCGATAATATGAATGTCGGTTGTCGTTATAAAGTATATTTAAACCCGATGTTAACAAAGAGCCGACACGTAAATATTATCTTCTCAGAAAACCAACAAGAAGACTGCAGGGTCTGCCTTTGAAGGGCTTTCTACTTATTAGGCTAAATGCATGCAACTGCAGTTGGTGGACGTTTGCAAGATAACATACTTAATCCGCATGAATCTTTGCGCAATTTTACTTCCTATGTTTTTGCGTCCCAATGTACGATAAATATGACAATTTAAACGTTCCTGTCTCTGACCAGAGATAAAATTTGTTAGAGAAATTATTGGTCTCATTATCTATGATCATGCGAAAAGCATTACAGTGTATTATCATATGTAACATCAAGTCTACTATGACATGCCTACTGTGATTTTCCACATTTAAGGATTTTTTTTTACTGAAAGGTAATAACAGTAGTTGATTACTCATGCAGTAAAAGGCCATATTGTACCTGGTGTGATATTTTACTAATAAACGCTCATCCTCTTCAGTGTTACGATCAATTTGGGAGTTATACCGTCGCAACCAATTACCCTTCTCTAGCTTACGTTCACAAAAGATGGACTTTTGACACGCTCTTGTTTATTCTTTCGTGAGTCGCGCAAAAAATTAATTAGGCCTAACTATTAAAGAATAAACAAGAGGGCGGAAACATTAGAGGGTGGTGATCATAAATAAAGCCTAGCACCTTGACCTCGATGAATAAAGAAAAGTTATTTTTTCCGGCGCTTTAATTATCAGACAAAAGTATCGATGGTTTGGCATTAATACCTTCTGCAGGAGCGCTGTTTTTGATGCACGCAAAACGATATTATAAGCTATTAAGGTTAGAAGAAGTCCAATTCTGACTTCTTCTCTTTCTATTTCATAACAGTCATTAAATACCCTTTGAAAAGCCCAAAAATCGTGTTTATTTAGAAATGCCAATTTGTCTCTTTAGATAACGGCCAAATTAAAGATAGGAAATTTAAGAAATGCTCTTAGAAATGACAAAAAATACATTAAGTAAATAGGTACATTACTTAATTCCTGAAATTATTTAGATACTTTGATAAAATCGCGCACCCTCTGTGTTGTTCTAATTATCAATTTAAATTTTTGTCTTAGCTTAGTACAATGTTATCCAATGTTATTGCTGTCCTTTTGAACTTTACCATTTCCAAATCTAAGTAAGTGCGACGTGTTTCGTGAAAATTGAACATTGTTGTGGCGGCGTGGCCAAGTGGTTTAGGGCGCTGGTTTTGTAATCTGGAGGTCCCTGGTTCAAATCCTCCTCCCTACCGGTATCTTCAACTCCTCCTCAGCCCCCCACCAGTTGAATTCTTAATAGTTTTTGTGCTTTTTAAAATATATGTTTATTTATTTACAGTGTCCCCAGTTACCACAACGGTGCTAAGTACATGTGACACTTATACAAAGTTATTTATTTATTTATTATTGTTATTATTATTATTATTATTATTATTATTCTCATTATTATTTTTATTATTCTCATTTTGGGCGTTGGTCCCAACACTTTGGAATAATTCATGTCCGCGTTAAAACGAAAAGTTCTAAGAATAAAATTCAGCTTCAACCTTTTCTTATAATTCAGTTAAGACTCAGGGCTGTGCGTGATAACATATGACATGAAGGCGCTAGAAAGAAATGAACAAGTAATAAAATCGAATTTTTTCTAAAGAAAGAAAAACGCAGATAAAATGCTCTGTTACACTTTATCGATTAATTTGCTTAAAAAATAATTTCAAAAATACTTACCAATCAAACAATTTTCTTTTATAATCAAATTAATCATATAAAGCATGAAAATACATATATGTTATTGAAATAGTGTTAGATTCGTATTAGGGAAATATAGGTCGAGTTTTTTTTGAAAGTTTATCGTAACGGTTCTGTTAAAACTCCGCTGATAAATTATCCAGAGACCGGTAAATTAACACGCGCGCCAAAGTCAAAAGCAGTTATTCATGTTTTTCATGTCGCTTTAAAGAGCCCTAAAGAAAGTTAAACTAAAATTGTCTACAAAGTAAGAAGTAAAAAATAAATATTGGCCGTTTTCACACTAGAGGGATAGTGTCTAGACGGATTATTTATCTGCTACATTTTCCGTCTTGTTATGGGCCGTTTTCACACTAGAGACGGATAATCCGTCTAAGACGGGTTATCCGTCCAGTACGGATAATCCGTCTTAGTTTGAAAACGGAACGGTGTTCATTTTAGACGGATAATCCGTCTATTTTTATCCGCGGTCCGATTATCCGTCTAATGGATAATCGGACGGATAAAAATAGACGGATTATCCGTCTAAAATGAACACCGTTCCGTTTTCACACTAAGACGGATTGTCCGTGCTGGACGGATAACCCGTCTTAGACGGATTATCTGTCTCTAGTGTGAAAACGGCCATTACTGTAAAATTTGGACTGCTCAGGAAACATTGCAATTATATCAGCAAGTGTCAAAATGGATTCTGCAGTTCAGACAGGCCACTCGTCAATTGTCTATATAAAACATGACAAGAAAAATATCTGGCTGGTCGGGTGTTGGGTGCATTCCAGCTCGCGACAGGTACAAATTCTGAATTTAATTACATGTTAATTATAGCAAGAGAGATCCCTGTTCAGATATATATATTTTTTCTTTCTAGTGCTGAAAAAAGTAAGCAACTTATTTGATAGTTTGTGCACATATTCGAGCTTCAAGCATGATTACCATATGTAACCACAGTTATCATCACAAATTTTTCGCCTTATCAATTTATTTCTTGCGCAGTTTGTCATCAGTATCTGTGAACTTTGTAATCCGTGCAGGGCTCCACTTTGACTGGGTTTTCGATTAGCCGTACAATGCGAAAATCAACAAGAAGATGTCAAAGCAAGACAAATTAACAGCTTTGTAAACGCACGACAGTCGTAAAATCACTAAATTTATCGTTTTAAAAGCTAGCCAAACTAGCAGAAAGCCGTATATTTTCTTAACTAAAAGAATCAATGATTCCGTTGGACTCAAATTAATTAGCTTTCAAAATAAACTCCAAAACCAACGTCGGCCATTTCCAATCATTAAAATTAGATCACTCGGACAAGTTTTCGTTTCATAATCAGATTCAAGTTGGCACATAAAAACACACTTTCGATAGTTTGTGGTTTTGTTAAAATCGAAAAGAAACATTTAAAATTTATAAATTGCAAGTTGGTGCTTTTCTTCTGAGAGGACTTTTGCAAGATCGATCGAGGACACTCGGTCGCTTCATTTCTTGGTAGTTTCAGTGATTTAAAACTTAAGAACAAAGTGGTCAGCCGGCAATCTTTGCGTTTCACGTTTTGAGATAAAGATCTTTTGGTTGTTAACAGCCTCATGGAGAAAACGGATAAGAAAAGCGAAAAAATAAGCTACGAGTTATGAAACAAATATATGGACGAAAAATACGTGAATTCAAGCGCAAACGAACAAACAAATAATTTTAGCATTGTCAATTTAATCGAAATTATACTCCAAATTTGAATTCAAACTTATCGTCGCTTAATAGGTACTGAATGGGGCCTTTTTTCAGGATTAAATCGCTTTGAGCTAGCATTTCTGTATCAATGGATATCTATTTACAACAAGCAACCAGGATTTCCCCCTAACCGTCTGAGTGTCAAATCCACCAACTGACCTGGAAGGATTTATGTAACAACAAACATAAATTTTGTAATACTTACAGACAGGGAAAGCAATCCCTAAACATCGTTCAACCTTCTTCCACTGATGTATCTCGGTTCACGTGGTTTTTGGAGTTGAAAAACCAGTCATTGCACCAATTACCTCACGTTTGGAAGAAACAGCGGTTTTCCATTTGAGGGAGGGCGCTCGCTTTGGTGTGCTAATTTTTCTTTTCTTTCTTCAACTGCGAACGACGTTTCCACAACAACATACAGTGCCTCTCTTCCTCGCGACCCTCAGTTTTGATTAATGATACTCTTTTCGCGGCAGCACACAGAATTCAATTACAAAATGTAATTCAATCTCAAAATTCAAGAAACCACTGCTCCGCTTTCTCGGTGATTCCACCGGTTTTTTTCAGTGAACAATACGGTTTTCAAATTCACAGCCGGGGCCGTTGTCTACGGCATTTCATATCGTTTCATTTGGCAAAACAAAGCTTTTTTCAAAAGAACCGTAAATTAACCCGCTGACATGCTATATACTTTTGGTGTAGCATAATATATTGCTGCCTTTTCACTTTAAAACGAGCGAAACGGGCGCTCAGGAAAACAGTGTAAAAAACATTAAAGCAATTCGTGACCGTGTCGAAAATTCAAAATTCGCCAGTTCATCAAAACATTTCAATTTGCTTGAATTGAATACACAAATCTTTTGTGATTGCCTTTTTCTCGTCAACAAATTTTCCGGTGTCTAATGATATACGAGTTTTATGCATACTAATACTGGCACAAGACGAGCCAATTGGAGGGAACGGTTTTGTATTTGCCGCGACAACAAGGAAGCGAATTTGGATTTCCAGGATAAATATTGAAACATGTAACCACAAAAACTTGAGTTTAATCAAGTGTTAGGAGGATTTTCCCAAGATTTATTAAATTCTACCCGGTCTCTCGAAAACAGAAAAAAAATGTAAGCTGTTCTTTTGTTTTCGAAAAGCAAGACACTTTAAACTAGGACTTCGAATTGAAAACAGTGGTATGTTTACAAGTGATAGAAATTCACATTTGGACTGCATGGAGGATTTTGTTTGCTTTACTGCCGACAATATCGAATCAGTCTAATGAAGGCACATCATAACAACAAGACCCTTAGAAACTGGAAACTATGAAAAAAAGAAATGAACTGCATAATATCTCAATTTCAAGACGAATAGAAGGAGAGAAAAGCTTTCGCGACTTCAGTTTCGACAATTGACAGCATTGACATTTTTCACAGGGTATATAGCTAAAGGAGAACGAATCTTTGACGGTATTTTTAAAATGATCTATGCGCTCGCACCTAGCTTGGGTTCGCTCAGCCTATATCATTGCAATGACCAGTTTCAAAAGGATGGCGGAGAAGAAAGTCCGACAAGATGTAATAAGCATATGGGAAAAAACGAAATCCAGCGATCATATAGCAACCAGTTTCAACCATTCAAACAGATTGTTTTCTCCGTCAGTCAAGCAAACGACCTAGCCTTGAAATCAATTCGTGATTTGCCTCAAGCGAATTCCCAATTAGCTTACCACACAGCAGTGACAAACTCTAACTTGTTGTTAGGGAGCTTAAGAAACTACGACGGCGACGCCGAGACAAGGTCGATTAAAAAATGAGTTTATATTTTACCTACGAACCTCGCGGTTCCCAAAAGTCATTTATGTACTTTGTTTGTCACTGACAAATTCAGCTATCACGAGACTGAATCTAGGACACATCAATAAATTCGAAATAAGAATTAAAAATTAGCCGTCGTGGTGCACGTTCTCCAGACAACGCAGAATTTGTTCATTTCACGTTGTTGCTTTGCGGACTGGACGGCAAAGAAATGTACCAAGAATTATAACGCACGTGCACAGCCATTGTTCTGCTCATTAAACATTTTGTTAATTTAGCGACGTTGCGGTTGCGGTCGTGGTTTTCTTACTCCCTATTGTCAACCAGTTATCGACATAGGACTGTAACACGCCTGTCAAATAAACAGACATGGGCAGTTTCCACCGCAAGGGTTAACAGAGAAGGATAACTTACACCATTCTAAACGATGGTTTGCTTAATTAATGTCTTCATTTGCGTTATATGAGATGTTCTCCATTTTCATTTTGTACAAAGAGCAGCATTCAACAAAAACAATTGTTATTGTGATGAGTAAATGTATTCACGTGCATGTTTGCAAAACTCGAAGTTGACGAAAGTTGCATGGCAACAAGTTTTTTATTTTCGACTTAATGATTTGTTAAAACAGAATTCTAAATGACAAAGCAGCGAAGTTACAGAGAACGTGTGCTACCTATGTACCTGGAAACATAATCGTGTTTTCCTTATCTAATACACATTTACCCGGGTCTAAAAATCTTCATCCGAACTTATCGTTAACATGACTACAACTTTCCCAGAATATTAGATTAAGAATGAAGTTTACGGCAAACAGGAAGCGGAAAAAAAGTTGACACTTTACCTTTCCTAATTTAGCCGTTTATACACTTAGTGAAATTATTCGTATTTCTTTCCGATGGATTGATTTAAGGATGAGTGGAAAGCATACAAAATCGGAGGCGATCTTGTTTTTGTCGTTTGTCGGTAACGTTGTCCTAAAACTCTCTGTTCGCCCCTCAAACGTGAGCTGTAAAATCATTTCCTACACTGTTGATATTTAAAGAATTTTAATCCCAACTGAAAAAAAAACCTGCAATACTTTATGAAGACTCCAATATACAAAGAAATTAAAAAACAAAAACAAAAACAGAACAAAAGAAAAGGGCAGGGGAAAAGGAATTTGGTGTTGCGCGACGTAGATTTTTTATTTGACAAATTAACGGATTCTCATTCAAACACTTTTTACAATTCTTTATTGTCGTTTAACTTAACGTACCTACTACGTGATACATGCTGGGTTTACAACGAGAGGTGATTCTACGAAGATTCGATCAGAATCAGCACTGTAGATTGAAAAATAAGTTTAAAAATTCGCGCAATTTTCTTAATAACCACTCAGAAGTAAATCAAAACCAATCGTGACTTGCTTCTTTAGCCCTTGCTGCCTTGCACAGGTTTTCCCACACTTCGCATCAGTTACACGAATTTACTTCGAGTTTGATTGGTTCACTGGATATTTTTGCGCCCTTTGTGATCAGCCAAGGTGGTTGGTTTTGGTTTTCGCGCGGTTTTAGAGCGGCTTTCACTCGAGCGTAGAAAAGTTATGCTTTAGACTAAAAAAAGTTGCGCGCTTTTTCATCCATTCGGAAGTAATTGGTCTTGGTTTAGCGACGCTCAATTGAAAACCGCTCAAACTTTAAAAACTTATTTTAGTCTACAACAATGTTTTAAGCGTTTCACTGGTGAAATTTTCTTGTTGATTTTGTTTCCTTCGGTCTCGAGTCTTGTAGGTTATTCGCCAGTCTCATAGCATTTGTTGATCGATATGTTCTCTCCATAACAAGTACGAATAACTTGGAGAAGAGAAGACTGAATGTGTTCCACTTGATCTGGAGGCGTATACTCATCATATGATGACCTAAGAAAAAAGACATTTATTTAATTAAAAAGTCACTTGTGGGAAAAGATGTCTCTTCCATAGGTTTTAATCATAGTTTAGTGGTTTTCATTTGAGTGTCGAAAAGTAATTGGTTTTGCACTTATTATGCTACACGACTGGCTCAAAAATATTCGCACCAATTTTTCATCCAATCAGAAGTAAAACCAAAGCCTATCGTGACTCGCTTGCACATATTTTCCCGCGCTTCGCGTCAGCTAGTTTGAGTTTTAATAATAATAGTATAATTCAGTGGCGGATGTAGGGAGGGGGCCCCCCTTATTTTGGGTGAAAAAAAAAAAAAATCTTAGAAGGAAGGGAAGCCGGCAGGGCAAACAAAACCGTCCCCCCTCCCCCCATACCCTTAGCTCAAGGTCTGGATCCGCCACTGGTATTTACATTTTTGTTAATGGTTCACTGTATTGTCTGCCTCCTTTGTCATTGGCTAGCATGATAGCTTTCGATTTGGTTCTATGACACTCAACTGAAACCTGCTCTATTATATTGTTGGTTGCTAACTTTAAGTTTCAGGTTTAGAATTTAGTTTATAATTGGTCTAAAAGCTGCTAAAAGATAACTTCGAGCCTCTCTAGTTACATGGAATTTCAAACTTTTTTTGAGCCCTGATCCACAGATGCTGGTATTCTCTCCATTTTTTGCTGCTTTGATAGCATTTGTTCATAAATAAAATTTGCAGATTTGAATTTTGAAATCAAGGCTCAGGGGTGAAATAAACTAGTCTTCCATAACAAAAATGTATGCACAAGTAACAGGGACAATAACTTAAGTACATATAAATAAGGAAAAACAATAAATGTAAAACATGATGCACAGACAACAATTTACAAAACTGAATGTAAATGTAACTAAGGTTGCTTCTGGTTTTGCTGAGATTTTCCTGCCCTACTTTAAACAAGGGGCTCCAAGATATTAGATCTGACATAAAATACTGTGAATATTTCAAATTAATTTGGCCTTTTTNCGTATTGAATCCTTACCCTCAGTTTAAAGTAAACAGCCAGTAGTAAATATAATTAAAAAATAAATGATGTCATTTTTTGAAATAAGTAAGTACAAAGCCTTTTTCTACTGTATCTCAGTTAGAAATAACACTAACTAAAGTCTTCTTACTACAACTGTAAATATTATTACCTTTTTACTTGTTGATAAAGGTTCATCAAATCTATAGATATTTCTAAGAGACTTGAACTCCTCCTGAAATGAAAAGTGCTAAAATTTCAAATTTTATCATCATTAATTAATAAAATAATACATCTCCAAGAACACTGGCATCAACTAAATTGACACAAAATGTATTCAATTACCAAATGGTAAGTACATAACATGGGATTTGTTGAAACATCTACATTTTTCTTACCTCTGTATAAAGCAGTTTAAATGGATTTTGGGTTGAGAAAAAGTCCATGTCAATATCCAGAATAAATTTATTTTCTTGAGAAATTATGTCCAAGAGTAGTGATGATCCAGACATTATGCCTGGTAAGTTTGCACTAAACTTGCAACTTTCCTGATCCATAAAATTACACGCAATTTTACTATCATCATCCTTTGTGTCCAGTTCTTTTGGGTTTTTACTGACTGTAGCCTGAGAAACTGATTCATCAAAATTAATGTTTTCATTGATTTTCACCAATCCAGGTTTGAGAGTAAATACAATAAGTTCCAAGTCTTTGCAGTTTTCAAGTGATTCCTCATCTGCATAAAGTAGTTCTTCTACAAAATATGTCTCAGAGCATGTGACCCTAAAAGAAAGAATAATATTAGGTAAGCCAGGAGAGCACTCTATATCAGCCATTCTACACTGAGTATGATGAGGTATGAATATTACAAGACATTTTATTAGCACAAAATTAATAAAAATTATGAGTGTGTATTACACTAGCCTCAGTACCCCATTCTATTCAGTGGAAAGTTCTATATTACAGCTGAGTATTTTCATCTGTCGGTGTTTTTTCCTTTTTATGTCAAAAAATGGGGAAAATAAAACTGACTACTAAAAAATCCAAGCAAATTGTAAAACTTTCCCTATTTAGAACCTACATGTACCATTATTTTCAGCATGGTTGTCAAAATTTCATTCTAAGAAGTTGTGGTTATTTCTCACTCTATTTTTAACCAGAGTGTTTCAACCTAAATAGTGACTACAGCAGATACATCTCGTATTCGCGCTTAATTCAATACGTACCTAACAAAACCAGTTTCCTTGTGTTTGCCAACCTTGAAGTTGAATACACCGTCCTTAATTTGATCCGACCAAGGTGGCTTGACCCATATAACTTTATTAACATGTCCAGCATAGACTGCGGGTAGAATCCAGTCTGCAATACTAATCTCCTCATACAAAGTTTCTTGCTCAAATACGGTGTTTGCCTTCATCTTCACAGGAACAGTAAGGTCGGGATGTGAATCAAAATGAAGAAGTGTTAATCCTTCGAATGCGATATACCTTGATCCAATAGCTCTATGGATATAGTAAAGGACTTCATCGTGATTTTCGCATATCCATATTGGCACTTTATCGTATTTCCGCAGCTCAAACTTAGCTCTTTTTTTCTCGGGAAAGTCGTGCACCTTGTCCGCCATTTTGAAATACAAATGCCTGGTCGCAATACCTCCAGGCGCGGCTACACAGCGTAACGCAACCCATACATTTGGGATATTACAGAGAAGCTTACACGACATACTGACCCAACTTTTGAAGGAATGAGCTTGTTGCTGCGATCCAGGCTGTTAGTTAGTGTTGCCATTAACTCCTTCCCTACAACTGTATTGAAGAACTTCGACGTCCATGTTATTCCTCAAAGGATATTTTCTTCGCTATCCATACCAAAGTACAAAGACAAGTTTTCCATCGGAGCAAGAAAGAGGAAATCAAAGTAAGCGACTGGGACTGGTTTTGGCTGCCATCAATCATAATTATTACGACGGGATCACAACCTACACTGTAATTATGGAAGCCTATAGACATTACCCCTTGAACCAGTTGGAGTAAAATTTTGTTTCCTGCGAGGTCTGCCTACTGTGGATGATACATGTAGACTGCAGCGTGTTATTGAAGGGTGCAGTAAATTATATTGTGAAATATCCGTATTAATCTTTTATTTTACATTTTCAGGAAAAATCCAGGC